CACTGGCTGCCCGACACAGATGGAATTTCCCACTTAGTTTTCATTTCACTCTGTCTTCCTTTTGCAAGAAGCTTTCCAGCTGCTGTGCCTGCTGCCGAGCAGTGTGTGAGCTGAGTCATCCCTCTGAGCGTGCCTGTGCTCTCTCCCCACAGCTCAGCCACCCTGACCTGGTGGAGGGACTCGTTCTTATCAACGTTGATCCGTGTGCAAAGGGATGGATTGACTGGGCGGCATCCAAGGTGAGGTTGTCCTTCCCCTCCTGCACATCTCTCCACGGTGTGTAGGGTAAGGAGGAAAAGGACAGAGCACAGGGGTTTGTCAGATTATGGCAAAAGCTGTTCAATCTCGCTTCTGTCCCTGCTGGGCTCTCAAGTCTGGGTGTAGTACGGCCTCCACCATAGGGGCAGGGAGGGTGTGATCATGCGTGAATGAGAAATCCAGGTAAACTGCTGGGAAATGAGGGGCTATTGAGCACTCAGCTTTCCTCTGATTTAGTATTCAAGCTTTCGGGCTGTATTTGACTGAGATTGAATGGGTCTTTTAATTATTCTGTTGTTCTGGCCACATGCAGTTATTCAGGGTTCTGAGTTTCTGGAGAGCTGTGTGTTGTGTGTATGCAGACTTCAGATCCTCACACGCCCATCCCAAGCCTCAGGCATTTGTTTCTTGTATCACTTGAACAGACTCTTTGTAATTTTCTTTACTCTGAGGGGGAGGCTTTGAAATTTGTCAGGGAACCACATCTTCCCGTGACTCTCCCTCCTTCTCATTCATGGTTACTCTTCAGTTTTCAGGCTGGACAACCAACGTAGTGGATATTGTCTTGGCGCATCATTTTGGCCATGTAAGTACCCACCACGCAATTGTACATGGAGCTATAACTTCTTTGTGTACCTGCTCTGAATTAGCTCAGGTCCATCAGATCAGGGTTGCCGCAGGTAGTGCTGCCCTCTCTGTGTGTCAAGCTCACATCAGGGCTTTGCACTCTGCAGGGAGCATGAGCATCCTCACACTTGCTCTAAGTGCCTCCAGACACGTTGAGGCGGTGGTGTCCCACACGCTAGTGTTAGATCTCCTGTCATTTTTGGTGCCTGCAGAAGCAAGTGGCAGCCAGTTTTCTGTGGCCAGCGTGGAAGCATTTGGGCTGTGGGCAGAGCACAGATCAGCTGGGAGCTGACAGTGTCCAAATACTGAACTGCTGCATTCTGCTCTTCGTCTTCCCCTTCAGTCTGAGCAGCAGGAAACCAGCACGTCCTGGAAACTTTGGATATAGCAATTCCTTCTCTTTGGGATTGGCTGGCTCCCAACCAGCAAGCTTACTGGGCAACTGGAAGGGTCTGTGCCTCACGCACACTAGATATGACAGGCAGCAGGTCAGTCCTCCTGCAGGGACACACATCAGCACTGGAAGGAGTCACGTAGCTTCTTCCTGCTTAGAGCACCTGCTCCTCTCTCCCCACTTTCAGGCCCCTTCATTATACTTAGTGCTTCCTTGTGTTCCCTTTTCTCTCTGTCTCTCTAGCTCTCTTTAGAATGCAGTTTCCTCATAGAGCTGGGTACTGGGATTAAATTTCTGTTTGGTCCCGGTCTTGGAACTTACCTCTAAAGCTTCTTTAACATTAAGCAGAAGCGGAAGCCCTAAACCGGAGTGATTTGTATCTTTATAAGCGTTACTGAGGGTCGGGAGCTAACTCACCCCATCTCAGGATACCGTTGTACTCCTGCAGCGTGTGCACCACTGTTTGTGAAAGTGTAGTCACGTTACCGAAGTATGGCAGGTAACAGTCGTGTTGCAGAAACCTTTCATGTAGCCAAGGTACTACTGCTCTCTGGAGCTGGTGCCCTCCGTGTTGCTGTTCATGGGGGAGTGGTGTGTGTGGAGGTCCTTGAATGCTGCAGTATTTTTGTGGGTGTCATTTCTTTGCTTGTGAAAAAGATGATGTTCCCTGTCTTTCGACTCTTATGCTTTTGTACAGGAGGAACTGCAGGCAAATCTAGATTTGATCCAAACGTACAGGCTTCATATTGCGCAGGACATTAACCAAGATAACCTTCAGCTGTTCCTCACATCATACAACAGGTACAGGATACCTTTTTGCCTGCTAAACTGCTCCCATAGCTGCCCGGCTCAGTAGATTTGCTGCCATAGATGTTATTCTGTTGGATGTCGTGTGAACCTTTGTCCCACGCCTGGTCTTCAGCCATAATCCCGAGCCAGGCTCAGCCCTCATGCCTGGGGGACCCTTTCAGACCTCAGTAGATGATCTCTTCAGGTACACAGCAAGCTTGCCATGAGAGCTTGGATGCTGTTCTCTTGCGGTGACCTCCTGGGGCTCCTGCTCATGCTGTGACACAGGGAGGGGTAACCTGTTGCCTGGCTGCTGGAAGCAGCACTCCTGGTTGGATTTCATATGCTCCTGTGATAACCAGTTTCCTCTGCTAATCTGATGGAGAATTCTTCTGTTTTGTCTTTCAGTCGTAAAGACCTGGAAATTGAGAGACCTGTTCTTGGCGTCAACGACAATACTGCAAAAACACTCAAGTAAGTTGCTCTGAATCAGCCTGTCCCAGTTACTGTGCAGTCCCTTCAGCAGAAAAGCTGTTGCTGCTTCTCAGGGAGAACCCCACAAGCCCAAGCACTGGGAAGACTGTTCAAGACAGTCCCAGGCTGTGTTGCAGTGCTGTCAGCTGGATTGGGGCAGAAGGGTGTCTGGAAGCCCCTTCGTTAAGGGCTGAGATTCTTCTGAAGGCAGACTTGGAGGAATGAGTGTATCTGCCCAGCATCACTGTACTCTCTGAGCAGTTAGTTTGGTTGCATTGCTTGAAAAATTAGGGTTTTGTTTGTTGCCACTGACTGCCTTCTCCCACCTTGCCAAAAAAAGGCCACCTGCACAATTCTCCCAGCAATGGTGGTGGGTCCTGAAAGCAGAGAATGCAGTGGTGTTCTCCCACCTTGGCAGTGACAGCTTCATCTGGGAGGAGGTAGTCAGGGCAGAGGACAGCTGAGAAGGGATGGACTCTGAAGAACTAGTGATAATCACCACAGCAGAAATAAAAGTACATTTTCAGACTCCAAGCAAGAAAGCAAAAGGGAAAATTAACTCCATTGGGTAGAGCACTCGAAGACTGTGAACTGCAGTGCTGAGGCACAGTGCCTGGGCTGGGCCAGAGACTGCTGCCCAGGCTTGGCTCTTCCATCCTTGGAAAATGTATGGAATACTGCTCCTGCCAGTCCAAGGAATGTTTTAGGCATCTGCAGCCAAACCCTCTAGATCTTGGCTAACCTAACAGAGGTGGATTTCCCTGCTTGGCCTCCAGCCAACGCCAGTCGTGCTGCTCTCTGTCCTGCAGGCAGCTGGAGGCCACAGAACAGTCTGTCCAGGCAGGTGGCTCACGAGGTCTTCACATATTTCCTGTGGAAGCATGGATCTCTCTGCTAGGAGACTTACATATAGATCCTCTGGCTTCATAGACGTGGTGCTCCACTGACTCAGAGGTCTGTGTCTCACAGCCTCTCTAGTGTCTTTTTCATCATCTGGTCGACACGCAGAAGCGGGGCATCCGGCCGCCCCTTTCTTACCTTGCTCTGCAAAGGAGCAGTGTGAATTCACGGCCACTTGCTCAGTGAGCTCCTGTGTGTCTGTTGCACAGCAAGTGGTAATGGTTCTTCTAGAACAACAATACAACGTAAAAATGGACATGAAGGCACAAATTTGCCAACAGAGGCTTTGATATCATGACATTTTTCAATGTATTCCCTGACATCTTCCGTGTTTCTTTCTAAAACCCAAACCAAAATTCAGTGCTGAGCAGTACCCAGCCTCACAAGCGTTCAGCTCTGTTGGATGTGGTTAAATTCCTGACAGGTAGTCATTTCAGAGAGCACGCTCCCGTTTGCAGCCTAGGACAGTGTTTCTCCCAGCCCATGGCACATATTTTATCATGTGCAATAGCACTGGCAGTTGTGGGGGGGACAGGGGATGACATGGGGATGGCATGGGTGCATGCACGACAAGGTGCCACGGTGTGGTGGCAGGTGGGGGTTTTACTGATCGTTGTTAACCTTTCCTGAGGCTCCTGGTTCACAGAGCTCAGCCTTCTCAGAAATCCCTTCGCTGCACTGAGTAACATCTCTGGTTTGGGTTTTGACTAGGTGCCCTGCCTTGCTAGTGGTTGGTGACAACTCGCCTGCCGTGGAAGCAGTGGTACGTATCCGTGAACTCTTTCTTCTCATGACATTAAGCCCCACAAGTCACAGAATCACAGAATGTTAGGGGTTGGAAGGGACCTCTGAAGATCATCTAGTCCAACCTTCACTTAGCAAACCTGCCTCACCCAGCAGTGCTTTCACCTCGCCCAGAACTAGTCACAGCAAGTGGCTCTTTGTCCCAAGCTCTTTCCTGGCTGTTGAGACCTGTCAGAACCAGGGCTTGGGAGACTTAATGGCCCTGCAGGGCAGCCCTGAGGCGAGGATGGCAGGATCTGAGTGAGAGTCCTTGTGCCTCATCATCTTGCTCAGCACATCAAGTGGAAGATCCCTTTCAGGAGCTTGCATCTTCCCCCGAGCTCTGCCAGGCTGCTGCTTGGGGTTACATTGAGGCTACCTGGGGTTTAAAAATAAGCAGTGTGACTCCAGTTCCCGTGTCAGGGAGTCGCACAGAGCTCTGAAAAAGCACTGCGTCACAGGGAAGGCAGCAGTTACAAGCTTCTCCTTCCTGTTGTTCTCTGCAGACACCTGTAACCCACTTCCCTCCCAGCACAGTTATAGCTGGCGCATGGTGCAGCATGGCGGGCTGGTGGTAGATGTTGCTCCTTCCCTTCAGCCAATGATTATGGGGAGACCAGGGGTTTGTGAACAAAAGTAGTTGTCCCAAGAAACGTTGGAAGAACGTAGGAGTCTCCTGAAGCAGTGGCTTGGGCCAAGGAGCCGTGCACAGACAACTGCCGCAGGACTTCTCCTGGTCGTGGCCTCTTGCCTTTTCATCACTTTGTGTGGTCTGGAAGTCTGAGGCATGCTGCAGGTTTTGACTTTGCTAGGATACTATCCCTGAGAATTCTCGTTGCTTCCCAGCTGCAGCTGGGGAACAGGATAGGGTTTTCTGGATCCTGGCTTGCATGTCTTGCCACCCACATGACGATAATCTCGCAGGCAGGGGTGACTTTCCCTGTAGCACCCCACCTATCCCCTTTTTGCAGCAGCCTTGCAAAGAAGCAGTGGCCGTGGCCTCCTCGTCTGTCCAGGGAATCGAGTGCTCTCTGTGCTGTGTTGCACAGAAGTCTCCTGCCCTCCCAGTCTTGCTGAGAGAGCCCAGAAGGTGCTCCAGGGTTTTGTGGTGCAGCCCAAAAACCAGGAGATTCTTTCCTTTGAAGTCACGTCTGTTCTGGGATGTTCTTTGTTCTGTCACCACAAGGTCCCCTTGGATGGCAACAGCTGCCTTTCCTCCCTACATGTTTCCTTCATTGTGCTCTTCCTACATGCTCTCTACTCTTGCTCCGGCCTTCTTGGGCCCGGAGAAGCTCCCAATGCTGAAGATAGACACTGCCCCTGGTGCAGCTGCCCTGCATTTTACATGTGACTCTGCAAGTTTTCTCTGTGGTATCGTGTCCCTCTTTCCTCTGTTTATTTTAGGTTGAATGCAATTCACGTCTCGACCCCACCAAAACTACCCTGCTGAAGGTGAGTGCCACTCCAGAATCATCCCAGCCTGCTGAGGCCAGCTCCGCTTGGGTTTTTGCCTTCCATATATTTGTCTTTAAGAAGTTTGTGGACAGTTATTCAAGGCTATGCTTTCTCCTTCATGGAGCCAGACTTGGGAGAGAAGAGTTTGACAGGGGGTCACCAAATCTCTGCTTTATGGCCACTTCTCTGTCGTCTTCAAGAAGCAGGGAAGGTCTGCTGAGGGTCAGCAGAGGCGCCCTGCCTCCCCCCTGCTCTCTGCCGGCACCAACATCACTTACTCTAGCTTTATACCAGACCTTCCCATCCTCACCCCAGGCTCTCCAGCTGCTGTACAGAAATGCAAAGTGACAGGTGTGGGAAGAGTGGCCGGAGGAGCCGGGATGGTGGAGGGTTACTCTGGGCCTGAGCGTGGCCTGAGATCACTTGGCAAGGCAGCCACCGAGGTGCTGGAGGCTCCCTCAGCAGCAGGCTCGCAGACGACCTGTGGCCAGGCCTGTGGCCTTAGCGGTGAGATGGCAGAAGCGTGCCTCAGGCAGCAGTGCAGGCTGGTGCCGTCAGCCCTGGCGGGGTGGGCAGTGCTTGTGTGGTTCTGGGTTGTCCTCCTGGGCTGGGAAGGACGGTTCAACCTCCCTTTTGTTTCCTGTTGCAGATGGCCGACTGCGGGGGCCTGCCCCAGGTTGTCCAGGTGAGAAACACCTCTCCTGTCGTGTTTGGGTTGTACAGAGCCCCTTGCTCTGCTCGTGCTAAAACCGCGCTTTCTGTTTCCGCAGCCTGGCAAGCTGACTGAAGCCTTCAAGTACTTCGTGCAGGGAATGGGCTACAGTAAGTGACAAACACAGTTTTCTGGTTTGGAGCGGGGTTGCTGTGGAGGGAACTCAGCCTTTCTGATCCATCTGAGCCCATTGGCATCTGTGTCCCCACCCATGAGTTAGTGTGATGCCAGGAGATCCATCCGTGCCGGAAAATCAAGTAGTGTGCCAGCAAGCCATAGCAAACCAGTGCTGTCCCCTGCCGCGTTCAGTCCGCACTGCAGCCGGAGTGGTGACCCCTTTTTGGTTGCTGGTGTTGGTAAAACCTTTTGAGTCCATCTTTGTGCCAGTCCAGAAGAGCGTGCTCCCGAGAACCATGAATCTTCTGAAAACTTCTGTGCGTACCTTGTCTGGAGGGGAAGGAGTTCACAGTACAGCCTCGCGGCCAAGATGGGTACCTGAAAGCGCTTTGCCCTTGGTCATACTGATTTCTTTTAGACCCTCACCAGGGGTAAGCGGTATCAGAGCGAAACCCTCCAGCAGCAGAACGGAGAGCTGGTTGGCTTCTGAGACACACAGGGAGCCCAGCGGGAGCTGCGCTTTGATCCTGTGCATCCCTGCCCTGTGCCTTCCTCCTTGTGCTCGGAGGCGGAAGACTTTGTCTCCCGAGTGTGTCAGCCCTGCCCTTGGGACTCTGGATGAGGGGACTCAGCGCACTGCAGCAGCTCTGTCTCCACTGCAGGCACCTTGGCGTAGCTCTGTCTTGCCTGCCAGGGGCCATGGCTAGGAGCTCCCTTCTGTGGATGATGACCCTTCAAAAGCTGGAATTATCAGAGGGGTTAGTTCATGTGGCTGGTTACCCACTCAGTGTGGCCACAGTGGCAGCTGTGACACTCCCAACAGTCTGCACACAGCCAAAAGTTCTCTACCAACTCGCTCATGGGCGTCAGGGCTCAGAGGAATGAACGTCCTTCTCCTTAGAGCTGTGTGTGCTTGACATGATCACGGTGGGACAGGCGTGTTCTCCAAGTCTGGCCAGAAGAGCCTCGTCCTCCAGAGGAGGGTGCCGTGTGAGAAAGCTCATTCAGCCTCACAGCCTGGGAGCGTTTCAGTGTTCACGTCTCCTGTGTTCCTGCTGTCGGTAAAGTCAGCAGGTGCTGTCATCAGAGCAAGGGCGTCAGTAGCACTTTGGGGGTCACATCTCCTACAAATCGGATGTGCAGCACTGGGGAAGGACACAGAGGGTGGTTATCTACTTACAGAATCAGTAGCTAGCCCCAGAAACAGTCTTCCAACTTTGGTGGGCAAGGCTGTGTTGGCAGTGCTGAGGCTGGCCAGCAAGGCGTCCTCTCTCGGGGAGAGCCAGAGCAGCCCGTCAGCAGCTTGCCAGTTGTAGAAATGAACCGGAGTGGTAGAACTCCACCGGCCACTTCCTCCGACGGCTGTTCTGTGCCTTCTGCACATTAGCTAAAACAGCTGGGCCTGCCTGTGTTGACACTGCAGGTGGAAGGTAATGCCTCGCAGGAGGCTTGTAGCAGAAGTCTCATGCTGGGGGAGACATGAATTTTTGTCCCATATCTGGAGTGACGGAGGATACCCCGGTTTCCCCACCACAGGAAGATGCCATGTCTGTCGAGCAGTTGCGGTGTGTTCAGTGTAGGGATAGAGCCACCAGGTACACTGCAGTTTTCATCTAGAGGTAGTGAAGAGATGTGGCCCCGATGGATTTCGAGCCAGCTTGGCATCGTTAGCAGCTGTTCTCCCAAGCACTGGGAGCCTTCAGCGCAGTGCGTGAGCTGGGAGTGGAAGGGCCAGTAGCGGGGGTCCCAGGAGCAGTGCAGCTGCCCGTCACACGCCACAACTAATTGGCTCTTTCCTGTATTCATCCCTCTCCTTGTCTCGTGTTGTTTCCAGTCCCTTATGTGCAGCTCAGCCACCTAAGCACTGAGTCAGGTACCTTCGACCGTGCATCCGCCTCGGCCCAACCTGTGTACTGAGTTGAATGATTCTTCGGGTGCACTGCTCTGTCTCGGCATGTCCTGCTGGCCTGCTGCGGGCTGGGCTGATCGTTGTACAACGTGTGTGCTGTGGTTTTTCACTTTTCATTTGTATTTTGTTGATCGTTGCATGACTTCAGCTCTGTGGTTTTCTAGAGTGACGAGACTGACTTTCAAAAGGTCATTTGCAAAACAGCTGCCTTGGATTGCACAGACGCTCACCGTGACTGCACTTGCAAATGGTCAGTTACACTCCTGGCATTTGCTCACCTTGGACCTTTTGAAACTGGGCCTTAAACATCTTGCTTTAGACATGCAAAGACTTACCTTTGGTGGTGAAGAGCGAGTTTTCTTCCTGAGGGTACAGCTCTTTTCTGTGCTTACCCAGTGACACGTATCTGAGTGCCTGTGATACTCGCTCTGGGACCTTCCTCCTTTCCTAAGTCCTGTGCTTGTTCTTTCTTGCAGTGCCAGCAGCTACTATGACCAGGCTGATGCGCTCCCGCACTCACTCCTCCTCTAGCTTGGGCTCTGTCGAGAGCGTCCGCAGCCGGTCTCATACTAGCAACCATGGTGAAGGAAGTGCTGGAACCCCAGAAGGAATTGACCTCCATGATGCACCTCAAACCATGGAAGTATCCTGTTAGGCAGGAGCCCTTCTTCTGGATTCAGACCACTCCACTCGCCCCCACTGACCCCCCTCAGAATCTAGCATTTCATCCAACATGGCATTAACTGTTCTCTCTAACTCGTGCATGCCCATCTGAGCTGCCACCTCCCTGGTAGTCTGTACTTGGCATTACTTTGGTCCTTTCTGTATGCCCTTGGCATCAGAGCCTCTTTAATACTCGTTGACATTCCGCGGTCTTAGTAAGTCCCGTTACTGTACATGCTGATACCATCTCCTGTCCGTGCTGTATATCAATCCAGATGACAGCCGTTGTCTCCCCCGTTTATTTAAATATAATTTCTGTGGCTTTGTGAGGTTTAGAATTGCTTTCTAGTTGTGCTTCTGCAAAAGGACCCTTGTGGTGCAGTTGGTATGGCATCTGTGGGACTCGGGAAAGCAAGACCGTGATGGTGTGAAGCTCTGGGTGCTGGAGCGGGCGCAGAGCCCACGGGAAGGTCTTGGTGCTCCCAGGGCTCTTGGCGTGCCAGGCAGCCAAACAAATGGTCAGAAATACTGTCGTGGTCTCATCTCTGTACGTGCGTTAAGAAGGAGCAGAGAGATTCCTTACCTGAGCCTCCTGAAAGGGCAATGCAATTAACAAGTAAACTTCCACTAACCGAGGTGCACTATTAACCGAGTACAAGGGATTGAACTGCAGCAGCCCCGGCTTCCAGCCCGCTCTGCTGACCCCCCGCCGCTCCCACAGCAGGGCCGGGTGCGCTTAACGCCTGCCACCCTTCTACCCCGGCACAGCTGAATCTTCTACATCAAGTAGGTCGTGGAACAGGCAGCAGTGCCCTTTGCCAGGTGGAGACCCAGGAATCTCCTGCACTGCCAGCTCCACTTCCCGCTGCTGCCAGCCGCGGCCGGGTGTCTGAGGCACTGAGGCTCAGGAAATGCCAGCGGGTGTGAGTGACAGCCCCCGGGTGCCCGTCTGGGTGCGGCAGGTCAGCAGAGCGAGCAGCGAATGCCTTTAGTGTCTTTGTGGAATTCACAATTCTGCTGCCTCCTTACATCTGGCTGGGTCACAGAGGGCAGGAGGCAAATGCCTGCTGCGTGCCAGGGTCTCGCTGTTCATGGGAGAAAAGGGATGAGTGGTCAGGCTACAACAGTCTCGACAGATGCGCAAAACATCCTTTCTAGCTGTTGGGCAGTCCTGACTCACCGGGAGCCAGCTCCTCCAGGGGTCACGCTCGTGTTCTGCTCCATTTCAGGTAGGGAATGGGACTGGGAGGCTCTGCCTGAGGGGAACTTTGTACCAGTTATTAAATAAAGCTATAACTGAGTTTCATTGTTACCCTGTGTGCTCGTGGTGCTTTTGTTGGCAGGACAGGACACTCCTGCTCTGTTTGGTGTCTCCCACAGTGGGAGGTGAGCTCTTCCCCGAGCCTGGGACAATACTGGCCACCCCTTGCGAGCGAGGTTGTGGCGGGAGCGGCCCTGGAGGAGGCTGGCTGAAGGCACCAGCGAGCCGGCTTCTCTGAAAACTCAGAAGGAACCTTCCAGCTTTGGCAGACTGAGGACTAACCACTGGCTTTGCTGCAAAGCAGACGCGCTGCCTCCAAACCACGGCGAGCGCTCGGAGAGGCCTTCCCTGGCGAACAGTGCCCTATGCCGGCGTGTTTGCGGGTGTCACACGAAGTTAAACCAAGGGAACTCGTAAGCCCCATGGCGAGGCAGTTGTGACATGGGGAAGGCAGCGCGAGGTTTGTTTGTTGGCACGTCTGCCCATGCCCTGCGGCCAGTGCAGTGGAGCAACGCGCAGCGGCCGGCCGATGAACACAGCCGGTCCCTCATCTTCTGCTTTTCAGATCCAGCCTTGGCTCTCAAGTTTCAGATGTCTCTCATCATGACTTTCGCAGAAGGCTGGCTGGGACGGAAGAGGGGTGACACTGTTGGTCACAGATAGTCCTGACTTGTTGTCAGGCCCCCAGGGTGGGCCCTGCAGCCTCTTGCCTTGCTTCTCTAAAGACCCCTGAGGGATTTATTGTGGCAAAGTGTTTCCGTGAGTGACAAACTGAATGGAAGGTGGGGAATGGGAAAAATGGGCCAGTTGTATTAATGAGAAAGTAGTGAGGTGATAAAGTGATTAAATGGACAAAAACATAAGTTTGCATCACAGAAGACAGGAGCTTGTCAAAGAGACCAGGCTACCGGACTCCACGTGAAGTTCTTTGCTGCTAAACCCGAGCACAGGATGCAAAGCAGCGTACGTGAGAAGAGCCGATGTACACAGCCCTGGGATTTAATGCCTGCTAATTACAGAGAAACTGCCTCAAGTTCCCTTATGAGTACACAGCAACAGCCCAAAAGACAGGCAAACGCAATATTAAAATGACAATGAAATGAGTTAGAGGAAATAATACCGCAGCTTGCTGAGCTCTGTCGCCGGTGATGCGGAGCAGGAGCGCTCAGAGCTACAGGCTGCCTGTGGGCAGGAACCCGGGAGAGCAAGTAGATGAAGTTTTAGCTGTTTGGGAGGGGGGGTGGTTGAGATGAGAGTTTTGTTGCCATGGTGGTTCATAGGCGTAAGCAAGATTTGCAGCGGGGGGGTGTCATGTATTTTATTACCCCAAGGATAATGGGAAAAAGTAAACTTGTTTTCACATAATCAATTTTCTGCTACAGACACAAACCTAACTAGAAGTAAGAAGTTGAGAAATGAGCTTAATAAAGGACAGCATGTTTCTCTGGGTTGGCAAGAGCAATGCCAGCCAGATCCCGGAGCAGAGCGTGAGCTCAGGGTGGGCCTCCCCGGGAAGCCGTGGGGGAACTGGGACCTGAACAGCACCAGCACTGGTCCCACTGGCTGCTGGGGTGTGACCTGAGCAGCCACGGGCTGGGAGGATGCGGTTGTGCTTTTCCACACCTCGAGGGGTGTGACTGAGATAAGAGTCAGTCCCTGTAAAATACCAGAGTTTCCTAGACCTCTTTCTTCTGGCTGGGGCTGGGATGGCTGGGGAGGGGGCTCAGCTGGGGTGGAGCTGGTGCTTTGCAGCTCTCCCTCGTCCTTGGGACTGAAATCCCAGTTGCTCAAAACCTTGGGACGTCCTCAGCCCGCAGCAGCCCCAGCCCAAGCTCTCAAATCTCCGTGTCCTTTTCTTCAGCAGCACAGGGTGAGGCTGGCTCTGCTGA